CCATATAAATTTCTAATTTCAATTGGTGCCATTGATAGAGAAAGACAGTATATAAAATAAGGGATGTAAAGACGGACTGAAAGTGAAGAAAATATTAATATGACATAATTTTAAAGGACAGATTTTGATCTGTAGAATCCAGGGGAAACAACACAGAGTTTTATTGAGTTTTAAGTTCTTTATAATAAAAGAGCTCAATTGTTCTCAACCATGGCTGTATATTGTAAATCATATGAGAACTTAAAAAGTACTGATGCTTGGGCCCATGCCCAGAAATTTTAATTTAATTGTTCTGGGATGGGGCCCAGTCATCCAAGGTCTAAGTATATAAGGGTTGGATCTGCTGCTTTAGACCCTTGCATAGCACTGTGCTTTTCTTTTCTTTCTCTCACTGTTCTTCAGCAATGAGATCCCTGGGTACCATTTTATTTCTTTAGTAATCCAAAACAAATTTACCAATTTATGGTATTCTATCTTATCCTACCCCATAGCAATGGTAACTCTTCTGTAAAGCAAGTCCTTTTTTGTTTGTTTGTTTCAAATTTGACACATCTCTTTGGTGTTCTGATGTCTAATCTGATATGCAAAAGAAATTCCAATGCAAATGCCCTTCTCTGAATACTGGGGAGAATCTGTAACTTTGGAAAATCAGTTTTACTCTGGTCCATTCTTACCTATTCAACCAGAACCTTACTATCTTGTAAGGTTTATTTTCTTTTCCAGACACACAAGTCTATCCATTGTCTTCATATACGTGCTGCTAATTCACATTCTATACCTGCTCGTCTTTGGTGTTACTGCTTTCCCCTTCCTCTGCCCAGTCTGCACTGAATGCCTCTCACTGCAACCTGTTTGCATTTTCCGAAAGAGGACAACAATTTCAGCAAGATACAATGTGAATGGGCTAAAAGACATCAGGTTCTACAAGCACAGAAGAATTCAAAGGGGAAAGGTTATCACAATAACAGACATGTGACATTAAATGACACTTCTCTAACCCAGCTAAAAATATGAGTAAGATTTTATGTTATTCTTAGTATAACATTTAAATACATTATTATTGCTTTTAATGTAGAATAATAGAAACTAGACTACAAAACCATTACTTTTGTTGACTTTTTTGAAACTTGCTTTCATGACTAAATAAGAAAATATTTATAATGAGTTACTGTATTATATGAACATAAGTGGATTCTTTTAGAGCTAGGTCATGCTTTAATGTTTATTTGTATTCCTAGTTTATTTTTCCTGTTTACAATAATTGTTCCAATTTTGACTCATTTTGGAGATACGTGGCTCATAATAGCAAAAACAAAAACAAAAACACAAACCAAGAACAAAACAAAAACAAAAAAACCAGAATAGAGCCTGAAACAAAATTACCAAATCTGAATCAGTAGAATGTGAAATAATATTTACTTATAGTCAAATAGCAAGATACTATTATTTCAAACTACAAATGATCATACTGTGGGAAGCAGATGATCTTCATTTTCCCTGAAAAGAAAAACTAGCAAAAACGAATGTAAATTACAGCAGAATGGACTTAGGTTAGATAGGGAGACTTTTTAATTCCATTGTGTTAAAGTAGAAGAATTTATTACAGGAGGTACAATAGAATTATTATAATAACTTTTACAGAAGGCAAACTTAAGGGGTAGTTTGTCTTCCTAAAAGGGAAAGATGGGTGGAATTGAATCCAAAAAACTGTTTATTGAAGACTTATCCAATGTTAGGCACTGTGTTACTGTGTTAGGTGCTTCAGAAATACAAATCTCAGTAAGTCTCAGGCTTCATGCCTGAGGACAATTGTAATCTAATAGGGATATAAAATCATTTTATAGGT